TGAGGCTCTGTCTCAAAAAAAAAAAAAAAAAAAAAAATAGAAAAACTAGCCAGGCATTGTGGTGGGCACTTGTACTCCCAGTTACTCAGGAGGCTGAGACAGGAGGATTGCTCAAACCCGGGAATATGAGGTTGCTGTGAGCTCTGATTCCACAGCACTCTACTCAGGGTGACACAGTGAGACTCTGTCTGAAGAAAAAACAAAAGAAACCATTTCTGATGAAGGAATGGCAAAAACTGTGGCCATGCTTTAAAAACCACTCCAGGCTCGGCGCCTGTGGCTCAAGTGGCTAAAGCGCCAGCCACTTACACTTAAGGTGGCAGGTTTGAATCCAGCCCAGGCTCGCCAAACAACAATGACGGCTGCAACCAAAAAAAAATAGCCAGGCGTTGTGTTGGGTGCCTGTGGTCCCAGCTACTCGGGAAGCAGAGGCAGGACACTTGCTTGAGCCCAGGAGTTGGAGGTTGCTGTGAGCTGTGATGCCACAGCACTCTACCCAAGGGGACAGCTTGAGGCTCTGTTTCAAAAATAAATAAATAAATAAAAACCACTCCACAGCCTTGGCCAGGCACAGCAGCTCATGCCTGTAATCCTAGCATTTGGGAGGCAGAGGTGGGTGGATTGCCTGAACTCACAGGTTGGAGATCAACCTGAGCTAGAATGAGACAGCTTCTCGAAAAAATAGCTAGGTCTACAGCCATACCACCCTGAACGCGCCTGATCTAGTCTGATGTCGGAAGCTAAGCAGGGTCGGGCCTGGTTTGTACTTGGATGGGAGACCGCTTGGGAACACCAGGTGCTGTAGGCTTGGAAAAAGAAAAGAAAAAATAGCCAGGCATTGTGGCAGGCACCTATAGTCCTAGCTACTTGGGAGGCTGAGGCAAGAGAATCGCTTGAGCCAAAGAGTTTGAGGTTGCTGTGAGCTATGATGCAACAGCACTCTACCAAGGGTGACAAAGTGAGATTCTGTCTCAAAAATAAAAATGAAGGCTCGGCACCTATAGCTCAACCGGCTAAGGTGCCAGCCACATACACCTAAGGTGGCGGGTTCAAATCCCCAGCCCGGACCCGCCAAACAACAACGATGGCTGCAACCCAAAAATAGCCACGCGTTGTGGTGGGCGCCTGTGGTCCCAGCTACTTGGGAGGCGGAGGCAGGAGACTCGCTTGAGCCCAGGAGTTGGAGGTTGCTGTGAGCTGTAATGCCACGGCACTCTGCCCAGGGGGACAGCTTGAGGCTCTGTCTCCAAAAAATAAATAAATAAATAAAATAAAATAAAAATAAAAATGAAAACAAAAAATAAAAAAAATAAAAACCACTGCACAGCCTTCATTACAGTCCCAGACTTTAAATAATCCACAAACCCTGGCCAGGCGAAGTGGCTCACATCTGTATCCTTTTACTCTGAGAGGCTAAGGCAGGTGGATTTCCTGAGCTCCCGAGTTCAAGGCCAGCCTGAGCAAAAGTGAGACCCCTTCTCTACCATAAATAGAAAAACTGAGGCAAGAGGATTGCTTGAGCCCAAGAGTTGGAGGTTGCTGTGAGCTATGATGCCACAGCACTCTACCAAGGGTGACAGGTTGAGACTCTGTCTCAAAAACAACAAACAAACAAAAATCCACAAATCCATCACTATCAAAGTGGATTAATATGTTATGATATCATATAACCAAATACTACTCAGCAATAAAAAGGAATGTACAAGGTGGTGCCTGTGGCTCAGTCAGTAGGGCACTGGCCTCATATGCCAAGGGTGGTGGGTTCAAACCTGGCCCCTGCCAAACTGCGACAGCAAAAAAAAATAGCTGCGGGTTGTGGCAGGCACCTGGAGGTCCAGCTACTGAGGAGGTTGAGGCAAGAGAATCGCCTAAGCCCAAGACCTGGAGGTTGCTGTGAGCTGTGATGCCACAGCACTCTACCGAGGGTGACAAAATGAGACTCTGTCTCTATTTCTAAAAAAAAGAAAGAAAGAAAGAAAAGGAATGTACAGCCACATGGATGAATCTCAAAAACATTATTTAGAGCAAAAGAAGCCAGACTGGGTGGCACTTGTGGCTCAAGGAGTGAAGCACCAGCCCCATATGCCGGAGGTGGTGGGTTCAGACCCAGCCCCGACAAAAAACTGCAAAAAAAGAAAGAAAAGAAAAGAAAGAGAAACAAAAGAAGCCAGACCAAAAACCAAGCTGTGTGATTTCATTTATATGAAGTCCAAGAACAGATAAAACTCTTCTGCGATCTAAAGGTCAGACAGTGGTTGAGAATTAGAACTCATTGCAAAGGGGCATTCTACAACCTTCTATTGAGAGGGAAATATTTTGTATCTTGTTTTGGATGGTGGTTACACTAGGGTATACCATTGTCAAAAACTGTTTGAACTAAATGCCTAAGATGTATGTGTTTTATTGTCATGTGGATTGCTTTTGTATTTACAAATATAAGTAATAATGCCTAAGTCCTCCTCCCAGAGATTCTGATCCAATTAATCTGGGGCAGAAGGACCTTCAAGTATTCTGTCAGTGCCGCCGTGACACCCTATCACCACTCGAATAAAAACAGCCAGGACACAGGTTGAAGGTACAAGCCTGCAAGAGGTGGGCTTCCCATAGGTACAGGGAGAGCCCCGAGCGACCTCTGCCATGGCCTTTCTTTGAAACATTATACAACAGGTGTCGGGGACCCACATACTGGAGCTATGTGCTTAACAATCGCTGTGCGCTTTTCCTTCACAGGCTCAACTCCCACCCCGCTGCAGCATGAACGTCCAAAGTATAACACCTGCCGTTAACCAGTGACTCATCTTATCTCACTAACACCTGCAGCTACTTGAGGGCTTGTCTCTGGGCAGCAAAACATCCCCATGCTGGCTAGGAGATTGTCCCGCTCTGAGCCACCTCCCTCAAGAACAGGTGGCCACTTCCACAAGCCTGGTGCACGGACTCCTACACATTCTCCACAGGATTCCAATGTAAAGTGAAGTCAAGAACCACTGCACCCAATCAGCACAAGGTTCTCAGGTCAAGGGGAGGCCTACACAACATCCTTCCTTACAATTCAGTGCTGTGTATAATATAGTATCCAGATTTATTCTTACATTTCTGGAGGTCAAAAGTTCAAAATTAGTTTAAGGGGCTAAAACCAAGGTGTGCATAGGGCTACATTCATTTATAAAATATTCTCTATGTGTTGGCCACCTCTTTGTAAAATTTTGTGATGAATGTTTTGTAAATAAATGTAATTTTACACAATTTCCCATTTTTGTTACATATGGTGACTTTAGTGGTGACTCTTGGGTCACCCTGATTCATTCTGACTGAGTCTATTATACAATATACTGTTAGTTTGGGTGGCTTATAAACAACAGAAATCTATTTCTCACAGTTCTGGAAACTGGGAAGTCCAAGAGCAAGATGGATTGGGGATCTGGTGAGGCCCCATCCTCTCACTGTAGCCTCCCATGGTGAAAGAAGTGATTATCTCTCTGCTGTATCTCCTTATGAGGGCACTAATCCCAATCCTAAGGCTCCTCCCTCATGATCTAATTACTCCTAGTATTATCACCTTGGGGATTACAATTGAACATATGAATTTTGGGAGGACACAAACATTCAGACAATAGCACTTCCCCTGTCTCTTCCCGCTTCTAGAGGCTGTCCACATTCCCAGGTTCACAGCTACATAACTCTGATCTCGGCCTCTCATCACATCACCTCCGCTGACTCTGACCTCTCTTATAAGACCAGTTACAGTGGGTTCAGTGCCTGTAGCTCAGCAATAAAAAAAAAAAAAAAAAAGATCAGTTACAGTGCATTGGGCCTATCTGAATAAGCCAGGATAACTCTCTCACCTCAAGATTCTTTTTTTTTTTTTTGAGACAGAGTCTCTCTATGTCACCCTTCCCTCAGTAAAATGCCGTGGTATCACAGCTCACAGCAACCTCAAACTCTTGAGCTTAAGTGATTCTCTTGCAGTATCACAGCTCACAGCAACCTCAAACTCTTGAGCTTAAGTGATTCTCTTGCCTCAGCCTTCCAAGTAGCTGAGACTACAGTACAGGGAGGCCACCTGCCACAATGCCCAGCTATTTTTTTGTTGTTGCATTTATCATTGTTGTTTAGCTGGACCAGGCCAGGTTTGAACTCCAGCCTCAGCTGGCACCCTACCCACTGAGCTACAGGTGCTCAAGATTTAACTCAATCATATAAGCACAGTTCTTTACCAGGTAAAGTAACCTGTTCCCAGGTTCTGGAGGTTAGGATGTAGATATGCTTGGGAGGCCATTATTCAGCCTCAGTGTACTATTCAAAATGAGCTTTAGTAGCCATCAGGGAGATGACTAAATCCTCACCTATAATATTGCAATCCAAAGGGCTTAGAAAGTTTCCATAACTCTAGGTATTTTTTATAAGTGACCTACAAAAAATATTCCGTATCTCCCAGGCTATAGCTTTACACACCTCAGCTGTCCCAAATAGCCAGGCCCTGGGGTAATGATCAAACTAACAGAAAACTTAATTTCCTTTTGTGAGTCCCAGGACAAGACCCATTACAAAGTGAGGATTTGAGAGCAGAAACCTCTGTCTGTTGGGGAGGGGGTGAAGAGGGGCACATGTCAGTTACAATAGCAGGGAGGAATACCTGTAGGGGCACAGGTCTTTATCTTTCTATGTAAAGATTAAAAATGGATAGCATGGTGTGGATGCAGAGAGAAGGGAACATTGCTACACTGCTGGTGGGAATGCAAGCTAATATGACCTTTTTTTCTTTTCTTTCTTTTTTTTTTTTAGAGACAGAGTCTCACTTTGTTGTCCTTGGTAGAGTGATGTGGCATCACAGCCCACAGCAACCTCCAGCTCTTGGGCCCAGGTGATTCTCTTGCCTCAGCCTCCCGAGTACCTGGGACAGGTGCCCGTTACAACTTCCCACAATTTTTTGTTGTTGTTGCAGTTTGGGCCGGGTTGGAACCCACCACCCTTGGTATATGGGCCTGGCGCCCTACCCACTGAGCCACAGGCACTGCCCCAATATGACATTTTGGGAAAGAAGTTTAGAGAATACTCAAGGAACTAAAAGTAGACCTACCATTCAATCTTGCAACTCCTCTACTAGGTATATACCCAGATGATCAAAAATCATTTTACAACAAAGACATTTGCACCAGAATGTTCATTGCAGCCCAATTCATAATAGCCAAGACATGGAAACAGCCCAAGTGCCCATTGACCCTTGAATGGATTAACAAAATGTGGTATGTGTACACCATGGAATACAATGCAGCCATAAAAAAGATGGAGACTTACATCTTTTATGTTCACCTGGAGGGACCTGGAACATATTCTTCTTAGTAAAGAATCTTAAGAACGGGGGGGAAAGTATCCAATGTACTCAATACTACTATGAAATCGTATATAACAACCTACACATTCATGTGAATGGTAAAACATAATCCTGAAAGTAGAAAGGAAGAGGAGAGAGAGGGGAAGGGAAGGGGGAGGCAGGGGGAGGGAGGGTATCTGGGGGGACCTTATCTAATGTGCATGATGCAATGGGACATTTCAAAACTATTAAGAAAAAAGTATCATTGTGATGCATGTGTTTATCAGTTCAGTGTAAGCATTTCACATTGTCTATCAAATCAATACACTGACTGCCATAAATGCATCAGTGTACACAGTTATGATTTAATAAAAATAAATAAATAAATGCAAAAAAAATAAATAAAAGTGGATACCAGCTGCTTCTTAGAACAACTCGTGTTGGTAGTACCCATCATGGAACAAGGAAGCATTCTTTCTCTTTCTCTCCTGGCC